CCCAGCACTGTGGTTCCCCAGTGAACTGGTTTTTGAAGACCAAGAAAGCCAAGAGATCAGTGCATATAAAGGCTGAGAGAAACTAGAGAACATGGAGAGTTAGTTGTACGTGCCTGACTCATGGTGCCTTATGGGGAGAGAGACCAAACCATGTTAGGGAATCTTGACTTTATCCTTGCAGAGATGGGAAGCCACAATAAGATTTTAAGGTAGGTTTGCATATCAGGATGATGATACTGGCTGTATGCGTGTGGGAGGGGTGGGGTATATGTGAATTAAGAGGAAATAGGAGCAAAAGTAGAATAGTAAGGGCATTGCCCAGGTAATAAAATCGAAGGTCCTGTCTAGGCAGTGGGCAACACATTTTTATGAGAGAAATCAGGGATTGTTAATTTTATTGTTGGGCATAAGGTGAGGAGACAGAGAAGGCAAGAGTCTTAGCTCTGAGGATTTTAGTCTGGGTGCTTGGGTGTCAGATAAGACAAAGGAGCTCTTTCAAGATAGAAAAGAAGGGGGAATAAATTTTGAATATGCAGAGTATAAGGTGTCTGTGAAATACTCAGGGGAGAGGTTTCTATTGTACTAGGTGTTCTTGAATATACCTTCTCTTCGCCCACTCTCTCTCTGCTATGTGTGTGTGTCTGTCAGAAGACCTTCAAGGCAGCTACAGTTGACAATGTCCTTCCTTTCATTCAGGAACTTGGCATTTTCTTCGCTAGACTTCGAGCTTGTCAGTGCTTCTGTAGTCTCATGTTTTAATATCTCTTAGGACACACACACACACACACACACACGTCCTGTTGTTTATTGTCGAGTTAGAACCAACCCATAACTGACCCTCCAGTGGGTTTCCCGAGACAGTTAATTGAACTGGAGGAGATTGCCCATCCTTTTTCTGTGAAGCAGTTAGTGGATTCAAACCTCATGCATTCAAGATTGTAGCACAGCTTCTTACCACTAGGCCACTGGAGCTTATATATATATACACACACACACTCATTCACACACATATAGCCATTCATTATCTTGCATATATGCAGTACACACACACACACATTTGGAATATATATATATATATACACACACACACACATACACACACACACAAACACTCGAGGGAAAATACACACACACACATAAACACTCGAGGGGAAAAAATATATACACACACACACACATTAAAGCTTAACATCAAGAAGACAAAGATTCTCACCACTGGGCCAGTAGCAGCACCATGATGGATGGAGAAGAGATTGAGATTGTTAATAATTACAGCTTGCTCGGCTCCACAATCAACACTCTTGGCAACAACAGTCAAGAGACAAATTGCACTGGGAAAATCTGCTGTCAGGGACCTCTCCGGAGTACTGAGAAGCAATGATACCAGTCTAGAGAGTAAAGTGCACCTGATTCAGGCCATGGTCTTCGCAATTACTTGCTATGCATCAGAGAGCTGGAAAACAACTAAAAATGACAGAAGAATAGACGCTTTTGAGTTGTGGTGCTGGAGAAGAGTCCTGAATATAGCATGGACCACCAAGAAATCAATTGTCTTGGAAAGGGTAAAATCAAGTGTCTCCTTGCAGGCTAGGATTCTGAAGCTTTGTCTGACATACTTTGGACATGTTGCAAGGAGGGACCAGTCCTTGGAGAACATCATCCTTGGAAGGGTGAAGCGTCAGTGCAGGAGGAGAAGACCCTAGATGTGATGGACTGATACAGTAACTGGGGCAATGGGGGTAGGTGTCAGAATCAGTAAGACTAGGTCAGGACAGGGCAGGCTTCAGAGCTGTTGTACATAGCGTCGCTATGAGTCATAGTTGACTCAATGGCCTATAACCACACACATGTTGTTGTTGTGTAGCATGGATTAGGAACTAACCCATAGCTGGCCCTCTGGCAGGTTTTCAGAGGCACAGCACGAGAGATTAATTAGTTAATTGCACAGCAGGAGATTGCCCATTCTTCTGCTGTGGAGCAGCTGGTGGCCTTGAATTGTATGCATTTGGGATTTCAGCACAGCTCCTTGCCACTAGGCCACCAGAGCTTCCTTACATTGACATAGAATTCGGAAGCTTTGTTTGACATACTTTGGACATGTTGTAAGGAGAGACCAGTCATTGGAAAAGAACATCATGCTTGGGAGGGTGGAGGGACAGCATGAAAAAAAGACCCTCGATGAGATGGATTGATTCAGTGACTGGGGTAATGGGGGTAGGTTTGTCAGACAATAAGGTTGGCACAGGTATTATTGTCATGACTAGGGTCAAGGATTGCAGCCTTCAGTATGGACTGAGGCTCAATGTCAAGAAGACAAAGATTCTCACCACTGGACCAATTGGCAGTGTCAGGATGGATGGCGAAGAGATTGAGATTGTTCACAGCTTCAGTTTGCTCGGCTCCACAGTCAACACTCTTGGCACCAGCAGTCAGGAAATCAAAAAGCATATCGCAATGGGAAAGTCTGCTGTTAGGGACCTCAGGCGCAACAGTGTCTCTCTGGAGACTAAGGTACGCCTGATATAGGCCATGGTATTTGCAATCGCTTGTTATGCATCAGAGAGTTGGACAAAGACTAGGGAGGACAGAAGGAGAGTGGATGCTTTTGAGCTGTGGTGCCGGAGAAGGGTAATGTATATACCATGGACTGCCAGGAAAACAAACAGATTCATCTTGGAGAGGATTAAACCAAGCTACTCCTGGGAGGCAAGGATTCTGGGGCTTCGTCTGACATACTTTGGACATGTTGCCAGGAGGGACAGGTCCTTGGAGAGGGACATCATGCTTGGGAGGGTGGAGGGACAGCGCAGGAGGGGAAGACCTTCTATGAGATGGATTGATTCGGTGACTGGGGTAATCGGGATGGGTGTGTCAGAGGCGGTGCTGTTGGCGCAGGATAGAGCAGGGTTTAGGGCTGTTGTGCATAGGGTCGCTATAAGTCGCAAACGACTCGACGGCACATAACAACAACAGAGTCCAGAATGAAAGTTGCACAGTGGAGTGGATTGTATAACAATGAAAGAATTTTTTTACTTTTCAAAGAGAAAAGTGACCTGGGTGGGGTGGGGAGGGGTGGGCAAGGAAGAAAGTGTGCAGCAATGAATGAATGGAAATCCAAAGTCTCTGTAAACTTTCATTAAAATTATAAAAAGCGGGGGAGAAGAATGGCACAGGATAGAGAAGGGTTTATGGCTGTTGTACATAGGGTCGCTAGGAGTCACAGGCAAATCGACCACACATAACAACAACTATATATATATATATATATATAGTTGTTGTTGTTGTTGTGTACCATCAAGTTGGAACTGACCCATTGCTGACCCTCTGGTGGGTTTTCAGAGGCAGTTAACCACATGGGAGGAGATCGCCCATTCTTCTCCAGAGGAGCTGCTGGTGGCCTCAAACCACGTGCCTTCGGGATTGCAGAGCAGCTTCTTGCCACTAGGCCCCAGAGGCCTCTATCTATCTATACACACACACACACACACACACACACACACGTTGTTGTTGAGTACCATCAAGTCAGAACCAACCCACAGCTGATCCTCCAGTGGATTTTCAGAGGCTATAAATTATAAGGGAGATTGCCCGTCTTTCTTCTGTGGATCAGCCGGGGCATTTGAACCATGTGCCATTGTGATTACAGCACAGCTTCTTACCACTAGGCCATCAGAACTCCCTAATTACACACACACACACACACACACAATTTGCTGCCTCTCTTGGTATTCTTCATGGGACTTTATGCGACCTGCACCTTGCAAAGCAGGAAGTGATGAAATAATTGCTTGTGGGCATTTCTTCCAAATGAGCCTTTACCGTTGCTACCCAGGAAGTATCAGCACTCCAGATGGGAGGCCCCCTCTGGTACTGACTCCAAGCAGGAAGTGACTCTTACATCCCAAGGTTTCAAACCCTCCCATGCCAGAAGCCCAGGACTGGACTAACTTGTGCAGTGACCACACAGACCCACGATGATCTGGTTTTAAAGGTGGGGTAGGAAGCTGTGGCTTCTGAGTCATCTGAAGAGAACCAGTTAGAGAGAATACAACTGGGGACAGAGTGCAGGATGCTCGCTGCCAAAACCTCAGAGCTCCTCCTCTTAAGTCACCTCTTGAGTTTATGTGAAGGATTCAGATCCCTCACCCTGAACACTCTGCTCCCTGGGGCTTGAAACCCACTGCCTTCCCAAGCTGGGAACCCCCTCACCCCCTCTTCCCCACAGCTCCACATTACCTGAGGAGGGAAACCACTGTGGAGCTCTTCACAGTCCTTATACAGATCCAAGACAGGAGCAAAGAATTAGCTTGGCAAAGGATGGAGAGGGGGAAGGGTTTCTAAGAGGATGAGATAATGACAAGAACAATAACAATCACAACCCCTGTTTTTATTGCACATCTGCCACAAGGCCAGTTCTCCCATAGATGATCTCATGCAGTGACACTATCAGGAACATGACCTTCCAGGAACTGAGGCTTGGAGAGGTTAGGTCACTTGCCCAATGTCTTCCAGCTGGTGTGTGGTAGAGGGATCCCAGTCCAGGCCTGTGGCATTGTGGAGCCTATGTACTTTCCACTTTGCTGCCAGGCACCTTCCTCAGAGAAGTGTCACTGGGGAAGTCGCTTGGGTGGGGCAACAGTCACGCCTGTAGAAATTCCTGTTGGGTCTTACAGAGGCAGGGTTGGATTTGAGGGAGTTTTGAAAAGTCAAGAGTCATCTTCATAGTTCTTAGATACTTCTGTCTAGAGACCGCAGACACAGGTAGATGCTGACAGTTCTGTGGGCACAAGGACCCAGTTCCTAGGAGACACGCACGCTCTCAAGGCGTGGATGCACAGCGACACAGACTCTCAGTCACACACTCCCACAAGCCCAAACAGACCTGACGCAGCCCTAGTGACATAGATAGGCTCACTCTCCTTGACACGTTCGCTCCCTCACTCACGTCCTGACGTCCTGTGGATGTTGAGACAGGTTGCTGGGAAGGAGGAGTGGCTTGGTCAGATGAGGCTGGCGATGCTGGATGTGGTCTCATGACGCTGGCCGGCAGACAGCTGCCCTGAGATGCTGAAGATGCTGCCACTGCCACTTCGGCCGCCGTAGGTGGAGGGGGCAGCTGTTCGAAGGAGGGGGCAGTATCCACTCATGCCAACCTGATACATCAACAAGCCAAGCAGCAGGAGTGAGCCTGAGGCGGCCAGAGCAATGCCCACTGACAGCATGGCAGCCAGCGGCTGGGTGGGGGCTGGGGCGGCAGCCAGCCCGGCCAGAGTCAGTCCTGTGACCAGCAACACCAGGCCGCTGAGCAGCACCACGAGGGCATCGGCACCTCCGCCGCTGCGCAGCAGGGCCACGTGGTGGGGCTGACGCACGCAGTTCATGTCCTGCACCGCCGAACTCATCAGTTGCTTCACCAGCACCAGCAGGGCTAGCAAACAGAGCACTGTGCCCGATGCCAGCCGCCACTCGCCCGAGCGACTGCTGGTGGAGGACAGCAGTGCCACACCGCCCGCCCCGCAGCTGGCCACTAGGACCACGGCCACGGCGAAGCAGAGTGCCGAGCGCCTCGGCTGCTGGGACCACCATAGCTCCACCTGCTCTGCCAGCACGTCTGCGGGCAGCCCCCTGCCCACTGGGGCACCCACCGGGGCACCGGCCTCTCCTTGAGACATGACTTGGTTTGGCAGAAGTCAGAGGGTCGGCTTCAGGGCCTAATGTGACTCATGACCGGGGGCCCCAACTACCTGCTTGTCAGTTAGAGGCCCAGAGTCCTGTTTCTTTCACAGCCCAGACTATACAGCTCACCATTACCTGTAGGAAGGAATCACAGTTTTCACCTCTCCAGCCCTTATCTTCCTCCTGGGAGTCGTGGAAAACTCTCCCCTCAAATCCTCTGGGGAAGCTCTCTCCCAGTGACCGAGGAAAACCCCTCTCCCATAAGGCACCCCCCCCCCTTGCCCTGCACCCAGGGACTCGCCCTTGCCCAGCCTCTGACCTCTCTGGCTCCAGCTCTCCCAGATGCCTGTCCCATCCCGGCCGGCCTAGGGAACTGGTGCCACAGCGGACAGTGGATGATGGAATGAACAGCTAGAGATAAAGCCTCATTCAGGATCACACTCACATGGCTTCAGCTGTCACTGCTGGCTCCTGGAGGGTGGGGTGGGGGAGGAAGGCAGTGGGGACGGAGCAGGGTGTATGAATTAACTCTTCCACAGCCTGTACACTGAGTGTACACTGTACCTTCTCTCTCAGGACTGACCTGCCTCCCCCTTCTCTCTAGTTTAGGACCTGCTGCCTGACACCTGCCCTCCCCTATCATCCCATCCACTCTCTCAGCTACAACTCTAGCACCACAGGCTGATGGGTCCCAAACTTCTCTTAAACTTGACTCCCTCCTGAGCTCCAGCCCCATGCTTTAGAGCTGAAGGCACAGAGAGCAAATGATTTTCAGAAACTGACACCTGACCACATTTTGAGCTTTGACTTAAGTCCAGATTCCAACTTAAAACCCAGTCATGCTTTTCTCTGGAGCTTTCAAACCACTAAGGCAACTACAACCTTGTGAGAATCACACAAGGACATACCAATTTCCTTCTCAGAAGTTTCATTAACATCCACACAAGACTTCAGAACTTACAGAGGCTTAGCCTCCTTCCATCAATGCAGGCTTTTACCAGAAAGACCATGTCCATTAAGAGAGAGGCCACTCTGCCTTACTTAGTTGACACTTTTGGCTGGAACAAGAACATATCCTTTCCTTATTTATTTTAGGCTATCTTAATTAAATAATATTAATAAAAACTATTAATAAATACTATTAATAAAAACTTTTTAAACGTTTTCCGGTTTGTTTAAAGCCTTTCATGGCCTTCTTTACTAGAATCTTGCATATCAGGAAAGGCTTTCCTGACCAATTGCCACCTTGTATCAAATAAGCCTTTTGTAAACAATCAGTGTAATTGCATAGTTTTTAGCAATTCATGGAAGGACAAAACCCTAACTGTTTTTTGTTTTGTTTGTGTATTTTATAGTCTGCTGAGTTTGTAACAACCTCTAGACTAGGGAAGAAGTTGCTCTGATCACAAGTTCTCTTATTTCCCACTTTTCTATCCTTCTTTCCACTGAAAGCCAAATTAAAAAAAAAACCAAAACTTTTCCCTACTACTGTAACTACCTCTAAGATACCCATAAATTTGATTTTTACCTTGATGTCTAATTGTCACCTCTGAATGAATCAACATGTCCCAACCCAAGCATGCCATGTATCCCAAACCTGCTCTTCCTCTTTCTTGCCTCACTTGGGCAATGGCCTCACTACCCTCAAAGCCACCCAAGTTGGAAACCTGGGAGAGAGCAGACTGCATGGGATGCTTCCTCACCCACATAGCAAGGAGTTCACCTAGTCCTCCCCTGCTTTCATCCCTGGGACTCCCGCTCCACCTCTTTACTCCTCCCCAACATTTCCTCTTTTGTCCTGCCCTTCAGCCTCCTCCCCATTCTCCAAGCTGTCCTCCTCCATGACTTCTCTAAAGTGGTACAAAGGGCAAAGGAGGGTCCAGACCTTAGCACCAGGAGGCACTTGGGCGAATGGACTGACAGTGGTTACTCATTTAACAGGCCCCCTGAAAAGCATAATTATGACTCACATCAGGAGGTCCCTGCCCTCAAGGAACCCCAGTGGAAAGCAGGAGAGACATAAGCAGCAGGTCCTGTTCCCAGTGATTAATTCTGGACTGTGGCTTGTGGGACCTCTGAAGAAGGGCTGTCAGGAGGGTCAGGGAAGCCAGATTAATCTACTTCCCAGAGCCTCAGCCTCTTTATCTGAAAAATAAAGACAATAACATTTATGTTGGGAGTTGGAGCTGGGTCATTTGATGCCTTCATTTTCAGAATTCCCAAAGGAGGCTAGAGCCCCTATACACACTCACATCCTTTCTGGAAAAATGAACCCAATGTCCCTTCCTCCAGTGCAGGCTTGGATTCCTGCTTTATGCATTGAACAGAGGTCCTAGAGCATAACTACAGGAACAACATGACTAAATGGCCACACATGACTACACCTTTAATGAGGTACACAACTTCTAGAACTCCTCTTCAGGGACCGCAACACAAACTGCGCAGCTTACGTTCAGATGCCCCCAAGTGAGGTGCGGGAGGGGTTGTGGGAGGAGCCCCTAGCGGCAGTCCCGGCATCCTCCTGGGCGGTGATTTCACTGGCTGAAAGTGCTTGCACAGGTGTAAGCCATTCTGATGCAGGCCAGGCTTGGGGAGGGGTGGAGGTTGTCAGAAAAAGGGCCAGAGGGGAAGGAGGGGATTCAAGGGTGGTCATGGGACACTCACGAGAAACCCTGCTGGATCCTATCCAACCAAGCAGGAGGGCGGGTGGGGCATTCCAGCTCTGGGTCGAGGAAAGCTCCACTTACCTAACCTGCACACAGGTGAGCCTGGGGGAGGGGAACCAACAGGTGTTGTTTCCTGGGCAGGACCTGAGCCGATTGGTTGACGTGGCACGGCTCCTTGGGCTGGGAGTGGCATTCCTGGGAAGGGAGGGGCTTCTGTCACCTGCTGTTAGGACTCTGAACCCAATTCCCAGACCCGCGCGGCAGGAGAAAGTTGTCTATCTGACCTAGAGTCTCGATCGGTTCCAGCCCAGGCCCCAGCTCCAAGCCCAACTTCTAGACTTAAGAAGAGTTAGAATGCAAAAGTCCTTGGGAAAGCAGAATATTGTCTGTATGTATCTGTGATTCTAAATTAAAGGGTCTTTGAGACAATGAACAATAAAATAAACAACTATTATTTAAAAAAAAGAGATAGGATCCAACATCAACTGTGATGTCAAATCCTAAATAGAAATCATAACTGTAATATCAGCTCCAACACCACATCCCAGTTCCAATCTTGTACCTCATATTTCAATCCCAAACTCTACACCCATTCCCAAGCAAATTCCAGTCCCAGTTCCGAATGCCAACCCAAAATCCGCCTGGAAGCCTCAGCTCCAAACCCTTAACCCAATTTCACTTCCGAATTCCAGACTTAAGTCTTAAACTCTTTTTTTCTTTGTTTGTTTGTCTTAGACTTCTAACCTTACAGTCCCATTCTTGTCTGTTCCTGAATCCAGTCCCCTAAACCTAGCCTCAGCCCCCAATTCTAACATTAGCTCACCTCCAAACTCCTTTAGCCCTCTTCTATGGGGCAGAAACCCCACAAACCTGATTCATTCTCATTCATTCAAAGCCTCAAAAGCTTGACTGGTAGGCCTGCCCCGTCAGTCTAGACCTCGCCTGACCATTGGCTAGGCCAGTGGCCAATAAATGGGGCTGGGGGAAGGAGCTGGGAGGTAAAGAAATGTCATGAGGGAAACAGGAACTCCTTTGCTTAACACACTTCCAAGCCCTTTCAAGATAAATGTGACATTCCTTCACAAGGCTCACACACTTCTCCATAGGGCTACCAACCACACCAGACCACTGGTCCCTGCTCTCCAGTCAGTCCTGCACACTTTGCCCTATGCTCTTTTCAGGCTTTTGAACCTAGAGCCCTCCTACCCTCTTCAGCTGTCCTATCCACGTGGTATACACCTTTTCTCTTACTCCAATTTGGCCAGCTTGCACTTTTCAAGGAAGATGCCACCTCCTCCAGGGGGTTATGTGCACCTAAACCCCTTCACTTCCCCCACAACTTCTCTTCCTGCCATATGCTGCATTTGCCCTTATTTACTAGTCTGTTGTCCCCCTACTCTCCAAGTGCATCAGGTCCCCAACAGGTACAGGGACCGTGTGTTTCATTAACTATTGTGACCTCAGTAGCCAGAACTATGCTTGGCACACAGAAGGTAATTAATAAATGTAATAGAATGATTGATTAAACGAATGAATGAACTCACAAGTGTGCCCAGCAGGGAGCATATGAGATGAAGCTGGAAAGAAATTTGACCTGGGCTGTACAAGGCCTTGAGCGCCATGATGAGGCATAAGAATTGTGTGTAGGTCCTCGTCTGACTGGCACAGGCATTTCTGGCCCCAAAGCATGCTTGCTACTTTCTCTGCTCCCTAGTAGTGAGAGTCCCCCTTCTGCTGCTAAATCTGCTCAATTCAAACCTCAGAGGTTGGAAAACGGACTAATCCCATTACAAGTGATTTACACACACCCTAGATTGTTTTCCTATCCAGCCAAGTGGTGAAAATCAGATGACGGAAGTAAACCATTTTGAACTATAACCCACTACACTACACCAAATTTACCTTTCCATCATTGGCTTCACCTGCCCATGGTTTTCTTTACTTGGTTTATAGAAATGATGGGAGATGGGAGCCTAATCAGAAGTCTAATGTAGAACTGTTCAACTGAAATATAACATGACCCTTAATATAATTTAAGATTTTAAAATAGCCAATTAAGAAAGACAGAAACAAATGGAATCAGTACATTAAGGTACATTTTATTATATTTCTGAATATTTTCATTTAACACACACATTATTACTGAGATACAGTATTTTTAATTCTTTTATTTTTTACAAAGTCTTTAAAGTTTGGTTGTGCCTTTTACACTCCCAGCTTATCTTCAGTTTCAGCCTCCCACATTTCAGTGCTCAATTGTCGTGTTTCACTTCTGAATGGCTTTCCCCTCAAGGCATAGTTAGAGCAGCCTGACTGCTATGGGGCAGGTT